AAGAGTGGTGAAATTATGTTGTAGAAAAATAAATCTTTTCCTTCAAATAAATTTAAATCCAAGCTTCCCAAGAAGCACTCACTATTGGAAGAACAAGGAGTAAAGGGGGAGTCTCCAAAGCTGAAATGCCTTGGCTAATCAGCTGTCCCCAAAGGGAAAACTTTACTATGGCTTTAATCAGAAGAAAAAGTTTGGATCAACTTGATAAATCCTGCTTTACAATGGCTGGGGTGTAATGTTGCCCCTTCCCCCAAGTGCAGACTACTGGGTGGAGAGCTGCTCATTGTGAGTCGGGATTTTTGGGGGTGGGGGCTGTGCATTTTTGCCATGATGCCAGTTGCTCTAGATGAACCCTGAACAACCCTTCTGAACATGCAAGAGAGCTATTCCTTATTTTCAAATAACTATCTCTGATGGTATGCTAGACTTTCCTTTTTCTCCAAACAAATGTCTTGTACATTCAATAGAAGAATTGAGTAATAAAAGCTCTTGAGTGGTATATGATTGACTGGTAGGTCTCCTGATTTACTCTGGTAGGTCTCTCTTGACCTAATTGGAATGGATTTTGCTTTTTTTGTCTGTATGTACAGTCTTAGGTGGAGAGTTTCTGAAGTACATGGATGCCTTCAAACCTTTCCTGGGCATTGGACTGAAGAACTATGCAGAATACCAGGTAGGACCCAAAGCTGAAAGCCTTTGCAGCCCCTTGTATGTTCAATAGGATGACATCTTTTTGAGAGCAGTCAGTGATGAAACTAAAATCAGTTCTGTAAAGTCTCTGTAATTACTGGCTGCACTCATAAATGAAATTAGACTCTCCTCTATTGTAAATTGCCCACAGAAGACTGTTGTCAGCTGGACACCTGAGGTCTTCCTACATTGGCCACTTTTTGTTGACATTGATCAGGAGAGAGATTATTACTGGCAGTGAATTTCCATTAGAGGTCTACTGGCAGTGAATTTTCATTAGATGTGCAGGTCTAATGGAATTTACCCTGGGGCTGGTACTTGGAACACCTGGCCGCTAGATTTCATGGCACTTCTCTTAAAATAAAAAAAAAGGTCACCTGTCATTAGTTGGTATCTGAAACACTGCCTCTGTTGGGGAAACTTGTTTAGATTTTTTTTTCTATAGCTTACCATTTCAAATGGTTAACAAAGCCTTGACTCCTATCAGCAGTTGCAAATAAGAGTCATTATTCTTAGTGGCTTTCTTGGTTACTGTCTGTCTTGGTACCATTATTTAGTGTTTTTAATAAGCTAAAGCTGTAAGGACAGTCAGTGTGGGGAGCACTGACTCATTCTGGGTGGGTGTATAATTTGCTGTTCTCTTTTCAGGTTTGTCTGGCTGCAGTGGGCCTAGTTGGAGACTTATGTAGAGCCCTGCAGTCCAACATCTTGCCTTTCTGCGATGAGGTTATGCAGCTGCTCTTAGAAAACTTGGGGGTAAGGGCTTAACCTACCAATAACTAGCTAGGAAAACTTGGCTCTTGCAAAGTAAATAAGATAGGGAAGCAGAGGAGTTAGAGGCCTCTTATCTGAAGATACAAGAGTAATAGCTAGTAAGCATGACCATTTGAAGAGAGTCCGTGTGGAAAAGTGGGGGGGGATTTCAGTTTCTGGTATTTTACTCTAGTTCACTAGCCTGTCCTTACTTCCAATGTCCAACTAATGGGATCTGATCTTTTCTTTCCACTTTCAGAACGAGAATGTTCATAGGTCTGTAAAGCCTCAGATTCTTTCTGTGTTTGGTGATATTGCCCTTGCCATTGGTGGAGAGTTTAAAAAATACCTAGATGTTGTGTTGAACACCTTGCAGCAGGCCTCCCAAGCCCAGGTTGATAAGGTAAGCCAGCAGCACATGATGCAGATCCTTCTCATAAACCCTGAAATGGGTTCATGCCTCAGCGGCTTTCCAGTGGTCCTTACAGAAGCATGTTCTCTTGTTTCTCATTTAGTCTGACTATGATATGGTAGACTACTTGAATGAGCTGAGGGAGGGCTGTCTGGAAGCTTACACTGGCATCATTCAGGGACTGAAGGGAGACCAAGAAAATGTGCACCGTGAGTATTCCCTGTTGTGCAATGGAAACGGTTGCTGATCTGAAATTGAAAGGGGGGTAGGAGATACGCTTAAATAAGTTCCTTCATTAGTAGCTACTCCCATGGCTTTAATAGAAATTGCATGCAAATGGGATCAACAGTGCTAATCGGTTCACAGCTGCTAAGGGAAAAAACAAAACAAGAATCCCCTCCTTTGGATAGAGGGGACTGGACTAACAGCAAGCCTTTCCTCCTGAATTCAAGAAGCTCCTATAGCACTGCAATCTGGTCTGTGAGCAGAGTGGAAGCTATTATATCAAAAGTGGTTTGATGGGTTAGCTACTCCCTAGAGGTGGGCCATGTTTTAAGCCTGCTATACTAAGCCAGTTGTTGCCTTGCAGCGGATGTCATGCTGGTGCAGCCCAGAGTAGAATTTATTCTTTCTTTCATCGACCACATTGCTGGAGATGAGGATCACACAGACGGAGTAGTAGCTTGTGCTGCTGGGCTGATAGGGTAAGCATCTGGGTCCTTTAACTTGAAAATAATAAGCATCTTGCACAGACTTATGGTACAATAAGCTTTGTCATTTTTACACTTGTCTAAACTGCTGGCCCTATAGACTTCAGTTTAGAAGCAAAGTTGAATTGATATACATGGTGATGGTGGTCCCTGACCACAGAACTGGTGACCAGCTTCATCCTGGTCTCACAGTTCCATGAAGGCAAGTGCAAACTGCATGTGCCTTATACAAAGTTGTATTCAAAGATAAGTCAATACAAATGACATTCTGTGGTGCCTTGTGTAATTGAGGAATTGCTAAAGCTGGATTCAGCTAGTTAATGTCCATTTTGCTGTTGACTTTGGAAGCAGGATGGAACTTTCAGGGAGAACGTTCTTTGGACAGGACACATGCATGCTTGCAGCCAATACAACTGTTCCGCTCTTCATGCTAAAACTGGTGACAATATGCAACATTTTAAAAAGGGTATTTGATTGTGTGATTCACTCTTTTCTTGTTGCTAGCAAGAGCTGCTCAAACTGTCAGTGGCACATCTGTTTGTGGCATTCAGTAAGCCTCAAAGCCCATTTACTCTCTACTGTTTCCCCTCCAGGGACTTGTGTACAGCATTTGGGAAAGATGTACTGAAATTAGTAGAAGCTAGACCCATGATACATGAACTGCTAACTGAAGGAAGAAGATCCAAGACGAATAAAACAAAAACCCTCGCTACCTGGGCGACTAAAGAACTGCGAAAACTGAAGAATCAAGCTTGGTAAGGAGACTCTTCTCAAAAGCCCTTAGCTAGAAAAGAATTTCCCATCATTTCTTCCAAGTAGTCCTATCTTCTGCTGCTTGGGATCTTGGTAAACAGAGCTAACACAATAGTTTTTTTTGGCCTTCGCTCCACAAGTTTGGACTAAAGGTCTCCTCCACAATAGAATCAAATCCTTGCTCATGGTGCAGCTGTAGCCTGCTAGTGAGTTCTCTCTTGCTTTCCCTGGATCTTTTTAGGTGCATCTCAGTTTTTTAACACTCTCTCTGCTTGCTGGTAAAGGAAACTATATTACACTTAGTGACACATGTTCCAAATCTGTATCATCTAATAAACATCTGTCCCCAGAACAAGTTGGGACAGAAGCTATGGGTGTTAGCTGCAGCCAAGGCCGGGAATTTGACTGACATGTGCCAATGCTCCTGCTAGGACTAAAAAACCCAGAGGTTCCTGCCTAGAAGGTGTTGCTCCTCTTTTCAGGGTCAGACTGATCTTCATGTCTGGGATCAGGAAGGAATTTTACCTCAGTTGGATTGGCATGGGTTTGTGAGGGTTTTTGCCTTCCTCCTGTAGTTATTGTCCTCTTCCGTGGACCTCTTCAGGGTGTTCTAACAACTACTTCCTATCCTTGCAGTGGCAGAACATTGGCAGTGCCCTCATGCCCCTGCTTTACCTGTAGCAAGCTAAGGTGTTGTTGATGTTTAGGTCATTGTGTGGCATGCGTAAGGGTTGTTGGCAAAGTATTTAAGAATAGGTTAGACACTTGTCTAGGATGGGTTAGATGGGAATGATCCTGCTTTGAGAAGGGGGTTGGATTAGATGACTTCTGAGATCACTTCCAGCTCTGCTTCCTATTTCTTCTAAATCATGGAAAAGTACAGGGGATGTAGCATTTGGGAAAAGCCACTTACTCCTGGCTGGATGTGCACCTTTTAATTCATTGAACTCTAGGTCTTTTTTCAGTTTTGTGATGTGCCTATTTCCTTTGATTGTAAATAATCCTATTTTGGCTCCTAAAGCGGGTCTTGGTTTTTTTTATGACTGTCCCCCCCCCCTCCCCCCCCCTCTGATTACAGATCTGTTACCATTGGGATGACACCTGAGACCCCCACTGGAAATCTCCAATCTTTTGAAAAAAACCCGGAAATAAGGAGCGTGCACGGATGCTGAATGTTTGGGAATGAGAGGATGAGTGAGTGAGACGTGAAACACACCACATTGAAAATCCCGCCACAGTAACAGCAGCAGCGCTGTTAGTGAGCTGAGCACTGACTTGCGTAAAAAAAAAACCACAAAAAAACAAAAAAAAAAAACCACAAAAAAACCTGACGTCGTCTGCCTTGAGGAAGAGGGAATGACTAAGCTGTTTGAAATAAGCAGTCTCTTCCGACAGAGACTAGGACTAGCTTTTCTGTCTTTGGGCCAGTGCGGAGCAGAATAACTAGTTTGGAAGAGAAGAAACTAGGTTCAACTGTGGTGCTCTTTGTTTGAGGTCTGGCTTTTGCTGCTGAAGAGAGCTGGAGTCTGGGTCTCTGGCCCGCCTTCTGTAACTTGCCACACAACGCTATCAGTGCACCTGGGTTAAAGGAGGGGTGAAGGATTTTCAGTCTAAGAGTGAGTGTGTGTGAATGAGGCGGTATCCACATTCTCAACTTCAAAGTCATTGCAGTTTATCTTTTCCCAAAAAGGGTTAGCTGTTGCATTTCATAAACTAACCGAAGTTCAGTCTACTGATGCAGCCTAAGAGATGTAAAAAGAAAAGAGGAAAAAATAAAAGGAAAGTCGCTCTTTAGGGCTTTTTATTTTAGGGAAACACTGACGAATGTTCAGAGCCTCCCATTCAGAGTGACGCTTTTCATGATCTTGTTTCATCAAAGCGCCTTTCCTTCCTTAATATTGTTCAACTGTGAATGTAGAAATGGGGGGGAAAACTCTTGCGTTAGAGGGAATAGAAACAAATTGTCAAACAAGATTTCAGACTTACACACACACAAACACAAAGTGCTCAGAATTGGCAATGAGAACGCAAAGGGAACGATCTCTCCTGACTTGTACTGTAGCAGCCCGAACACCCACAAAATTGTGCCAAAGAGTTGAAAAACAATAAAGTAAACCTTCAGGTAATATTTTGGATTGCAAAATGAGGATAAATTCAATGTTCAAACAATCTGATAAAATGCCATTTGGAAACTGCTTGGCCTTTTGTGCTCTTTATTTGATCGAATTTTAATGTGGTATTGGTCTCTTGCTGCACTTCAAAAACAAAAAAGGAAAAAGAGAAATTTATATAAATATATATATACTGACTTGAGCTTACACAAGACGGCACTTGTAAAAGGTTATATTTTTCCACTGCAGTTGAAGATTAATAAAATGGTGTCAAACATTCCCCAATACTTCCTTTTTTGTATTCTTGGTCTTTCCAGTAAAAGGGGAACCCACTAACTCTTTTTTTTCTTTTTTCTTAACAGTGTAGTAAAAGTCTGATGGGCAATTCTGGGACAGATTAGCTTTTTGGTGTTCCCAGTCAGGCAGCTTTTAATTCTGTCATGTGAAGGACTGGAATTTCTTTGGGTTCTTTGTTTTCTTTTCTGTTGTTTTTTTTTTCTCTCAAATCAAATTTTTTTTCTTTCTCCCTTCCTTTTTTGAGGAATAGTCACTCCTTCACTTGTCCCAGCTCATCAGCAATAAAACAGGAAGAAAGGAGAGAAGGTGTAGGGTGTAAAACAATTATTCATTTAACCTTTATTATGCAGCTCTTACCAGCAGTTTTAAATTTTGCACGGCCTTTTAAAAGCTGTTTGTCTGTGGGAGGAAGTTTAGAAACCCCTCACCTAGCGTATGAACAGAAGCAGGTAAAATCTCTTATTATCCTTTTCTTCCCTTCTCCCAATCTGATTCCCAGGATCCATGAAAATGGAATCCACTTCTGTTGCCCATTCGCACTGCAGCATCCACAGCAGCTCTTGTACAGGGTATCAGATATGTGCCTTTCAGTGCCGGGTTCAGAATGCAGTCAAAGTGCTGACCTTTGAACCAGTGTACAAAAAATAAAAATAAAAAAATCCCAGGTGCTTAGAAGAAAGGAAAAGTCTGATGGCAAATTGGGAGAGCTGGCCAGCTCCTAAAGCATTGGTGAGGGAAAGGCCTGGGTCACATTTCTATTAATGCCTTTTATTTTTATTTTGTTTCTTGAGGTGGGGTGGGATTTCCTATAAAGCCATTCCTGAAGTTGGGGAGGGGGCATGGAGGGGAGAAATCTGATCATTCCTCAGTGCTACCTGTTTCTGTCCTGTGTGGCTGTTCAGCTGTAGACAGCAGGAGAATAAAGTACACTGAGACAGTAGTGGAAACAAATCTGGCGTCTCATGTTTTTTGTTCAAGGGAATGAGTTGAAAATGTCCTAATGCTTAACACCTTGAGCTTCCACACCACACTCCCATAGTATAGTAGTGAGGAGAAGCTAGTTCACTCACTCCAGTATTGGTGCTGAAACCTGCAACTGCTCTCCTTTTAATCCTGATATAGCTGGGGTTTGGAGAGGGAGATAAATGCCTTGTATATAATGTTAAAGCACCAGTGTTGCTGCCTGGCAGACTCTTAATTAATGGAATAAATCGTTGACTTTTTTTTAATGTGCCATTTCAATGCTAGGATCACAATGTGCTTGTTTCAGCAAAGCATTTTGTTAGCTTGCAGCCTGGGCATTGCACTGGTTTTTGCTTTGCCACTGAGGTAGGGGTTACAGTGGGATACTGGAGGGCTACTGCTGAGAGGAAATACTGCTGTCTGGAAATAGCTTTTATGGCAAGTGGTGGCTCCATTCATATTGTGCTGCAGCACTTTGTATCTTGTGCTTTTTCTTTGCTAATCAAATGCCTTGCCACAGGCATTTACTGTACTGCTCTTGGACTTGAATGGAAAAAAGTTAATGTAATCTTTACAGTACCCACTTTAATGCAATCCTAGTATTTTTAACTTGAAACCAAGCTACTGTGTTAACTTTCTCAAGTCCATCAAATTATTGACATCCTGGCCACATGAGCAACCAGTGCTTGGTGTTCATTTGGCTTTTGACACCAAGTGCTTTTCAATAAATTTTTAATCTCTGGCAACACTTCTGAAGTGCTGTTACTATGCCACCTACCAATTGGCAGTTGTGATCTGTTAGTGACTAGAAGTCCCACTTACTAACATTGGTAGCATTGATCTATTTACCTCAGTGCTTGGTGTTCATTTGGCTTTTGACACCAAGTGCTTTTCAATAAATTTTTAATCTCTGGCAACACTTCTGAAGTGCTGTTACTATGCCACCTACCAATTGGCAGTTGTGATCTGTTAGTGACTAGAAGTCCCACTTACTAACAAATTGGTAGCATTGATTTATTTACCTTCTAAATAAAAGCTGCTTTATTTTTGTTTTAACCTTTTTTCTGCTTTGTTTTATATAGTTGCTGCTGCTTCTCTTGCCAGAAACCTTCCTCCCCTGCACTGCTCAGTGAGACTGTGTGGGCATGCACTCTGAATGACATGCTCTCATCTGCTTCCTGTTTGGGGGAGCTGGAGGTGACAGGGATGTGTCATCCGCCCATATGTGCTATTCAGACACACAGGAATAACAGTGCGATGCAAAACTATTTCCAGGAACAAGAGTCTGGCCTCTTCTATCAGTGGTTGTCTTTTGGGTTCCTTTGAGGTTTAATGTCATCTACGTTCTCTTGTGTGCATTTGTGTACCTTGACAGGGGATGGTATCTTGGCAAGAGCAGATTAGCTTGCTAAATGCCTTGTTCTTCAATATGATTAAAGCAGTGGTGCCCAACCTTTTCGTTCTGTGGGCCAGCTGAGCAGTGCCAAGTCTGTTTGCAGGCCAGATCTGGCCTATGGATGACTGCGTGGTAACAATGACCTGGCCAGGGCTTGATGCACAGCTATGTGGGGCTAGGAAATTTGGCAGCAGGGTGGCAGTGGCAGTGCTAATTGCTACTGCTTTCTTGCCACCAAATTTCCAAACCCCTGAACTGAAGCACACTTTCTGATCAGGAAAGAGATGCAGAGATCAACCATGGAAGAAAAACTGATTGGCTGGGAGGCGAGCTAAACTACAAGAATCTATTTACTGAGTCCTTACAAACCAGGCTTAGGGGTGTTTAACACCTTCTGCAAACCATGGAGGTGATAAAGTAGTCTTGGCCCATCACGTAGGAGCGTGTACTGAGGTTCTCTTTAATGAGAGGAGGCTTTGTCCATCATTGAAAGTACTGCCTGCTGTGGAATGCAGTGGTTGCTGCCAGCACATAGCAAAGCCTGCACGCTCTAGGATGGTGAAGTGGGTACATCGCACTAACAAAGGCATCACAGGGAAGCAGAATGTAATTATCCACCATGTAATTTAGTGAATTTTAATGGTTTTGACATTTACCTCTTGGGTAAAGTTTTCCCAGCATTTTTAATGACTGAGTGGGCAGGTCCTACAGCTCAGCTCTTAACCGTGACTTCTTCCAAGTTGTAACTTGTGCACTAAGCACAGGTGTGTGTGGAGAGCTGGCTCAAGACATGGTGATATTGCAGCTTTTTTTTTTCCAACTAGAAGAGGTATTAAAATAGATTAAAATATACTCTTTTTCATGTAAGCAAATGCATTACCAGTGGTCTGTGATTGCAAGTGGGAAGAAAGCTGTCCATACAAGAGAACTTGAGAACCAATGTCTTGTCCAAACTTAAAGCTGGAATTTTTAATGAAAAGCAACCAAATGGTGCCTAGTGTCTCCACTTGGTAGGAGATCCTGTAGTCTGCCTTAAGTAAACCAGTTTGGGCAATGAGCACTTTTACACGTGCTCCAGGAATGGGGGGGGCAGGGGTGCACAGTGCTTTAATTAGAGTGGCTCTAAACTAAAATGCTGCCATGTCTCCTGTATCAGTGTCCCCACAGTTAAAAATGGCATGAGGATGCTTGAACTAAAGTTTGTTCCACGAGCTTTAGTTCAAGCACCCCTGCCACTATTTTTAAGCGCGGGAACACTAATACACAAGATGCGGGAGGCTGCTGGAGCGCAGCTGTTGTCATGCTCTAGCAGACTCGATTTAATTGTCTGCTTCAGCACACTAGAATTCCAGCGCATCAGAGCAGCCTCTGTGCTAGCATATAGGCAGGCACCCAATGAATATGGGCACTTTCTATACTCTGTCCTGAATATGGCAAATAATCAAGGTGAGAAATCCAGCAACTACATATCTTGACAGCTTCATGTTCACATGCCTAATGTGTATTATCAACATGATTATGAAGAGGAGCTTGTGTACAGATTGAGAGAAGTCTCATGGTGTCTGGTTTATCTTGAGATCACATGAAGTGGTTGGCTTTCTGCAGAGACTCTGTTTATCTCTTCCTGAATTTGACAGATACCACTTAAAACAATGGGGGCCAGCCTTTTTCACAGATGTACCACAAATTAGCACCACAGTCATGTCATTTCTCTTCCCCACTGCTCTTTTCTATGCCCAATTTCCTGCTCTGCTTTCTGCTTCCTGCCCAAGTGGCTGCTGTGCTGCCTGTTCTCTCTGCATTATCCTGCATGCCATGCACAGAGGCTGCCTGTAGCACTCGTGCCACAGGTTGGCCACCCTGACTGGAGGAAAAAAAAAATACAACATGAGTTTACCTCCACTTGTCTTCTGCCAGATGAGCAAGCTAGGTTTTAGTTGAGTTCCCAGGTTACTGAGCACATGGTACTGAAGAGGGGAATGCCCAGCATTTAATGATCTATAGTTTGCCAGGAGACTCAACTGCAAATGCTCAGGGACAAAGATTCATGTCTATAAATGTACCATATGTCCCATCACCTAAACTTGCTAGTCAAATAAGTAAACTCAAGCTTACAGCTAGTATATCCTTTGTGTTTGATGGAGTTAAAAACATTGTTAATTCCTGATGAGGCTAATAGAAGCCCAAGTTCAGGCCTTCACGGCTACATTGATCCAGAATTTGAGATGCAATTTGCCTTATAACAGTCAATGAAACATGGTGGGTGTTGCTGTATGAACAAATACCAGAAATGGTTGCTGTGTATACTGCATCATCAGTCAGCATGCCAAAGCACTCTGGATTCACTGACCCTCAAGGGAGCTAACAGATGAACTGAGCAATGCTGTTGAAACAGCAGGGGGAAATGAGCTGGAAAAGAATTGTCCTAGCTGAAGTTAAAACTGGACATGGGTTTAATGCACTTCTTTCAAAGGGGCAGGAAACAAGCAACTGGTCAAGGCTTATTTTTACATCTCCATTGAAAAAAGGTTCCTTCTGACAATGCACAGTATTGCCGCTAGAGGGGAAGAAGAGGGTGGCTTGGGATCAGGACATGCTTTACTTGGACTTCAAGTAAAGGTCCTCAAGAACCATCTCTCAGATTAGTCCAGCGGATTTCTTTTTTCTCAGATGTTCTGCTAGCTGAGTTGATGAATGCAATATGATCGGTTTATCCATGGAGCCAAAAAAATGGATGCGGAAGTACCCATCTGCTGCTGTGAACCAGTACAGATGTGTAAATCAGTGTCCTGTGCTTGTGACAAGAGGTTCTACAGAAGAACTTAGAGTTTCTACCATAGGTAGAGCAAGTAGGGTTTAGCTCTGTTGCCACAGACCAATCTAGGAGCTACCTGTATGCTCTCTTCCCAAGAAGGAGCTAGAAGACCCCTGAAAATTCCTTTCTTGTTCCCTGAACTTCTTTAAAAGCATTTTATTCTGAATTTTCCCCTCCCAGCTACCTTCTACCACCAGCTGGTATTCCTAATATGTTCATTCCATTTCTTTGGTGTTACTTTCCCAGATACTTCTCTGACAGCCTGCCATAGCAACGTTTGTTTTGGAGAACTGCAGTCCTGCTGACCCAAAGCAGTACTCCTATTAAAGCTTGAGCATCTTTCTCATTTACTTGAGGTAGATCATAAAAACAAAATTCATGTGTCGTGGAAACTGCAGTGGCTGTAAACCAGATGCTGAAACTAGCAAGTGCTGGTACACCTTTGAACCTCAAACAAAAATTGCCTGTACTTAACAGAGTAAACATAGGATTTGATTTCACTTTAAGAACCAAATGCTTTGTCATTACCTTCCTAAATTTGAGAAGGAAAAAAATGGTGGGTCAAATCCTCAGTCCTTGTAAACAGCTAAATTAATGTATCTGTGCTGAATTGCACTTGCAGAAGAGCTGAATTTAGGTGCTTGAATCATTGAAATTCAATGGAGTTTCATGATCTTAATTCCCTCCCGCACCTTTGAAAATCCTTGCCTTTGCTTTGTAATTTCAAATGAATGACTTCAGCCATAACACACAAATTAGGCTGATTCTTTAAAATATTGCAGTCTTGAAGAAGAAAAAATGCTGTCTGAAATGACTGTGAGAGATTGGTATGAGAATTTATCCAAAAGGTGGGATCGAACACCATGGTATAAAAGAAGGGTGAGAGCTAAAGATATTTACCCATCTGTCCATTACATTTTTTTTAAGGAACCTTAAGCACACTGAGTAACTTTACTCAGTTGAGTAGTTCTTCTGAATTAGAAGGCCTGAACAGCTCCCTTGCTCCTGATGGATACTACTAAAGCCATATTATGAGCAAGTTTGAAAGAAAACAGACTTTCATGGAGGTGACTGAAGAGAGGGCTGAGATGTTCTTAGGACCCACAGTGGCCACCTTTGTGTAGCAGGAGCTTGTAGCCTGCAGTGGGTGCAGCATTAAGCTTTGACAGGGGAAACAATGGCAAACCTTTTCAAAAGCATACCTCAAGTCCAAAGTATGAGATAACGCCACTCTAATAACTGGCCACTGCCATTGCTCCTGGGACATGGCAACGCTGAATTTAATGGCACCCATTTCCTACAGCTCTCATGGAGCCAAACCTTCAAGCCAGCCGCAATTGGTGCCCCTTTTAACTTGGCACCTGGGATTTATGTGCCAAACATACCAGCTGCCCATGTGCCTGCTGCTCTAGCAGGTAGGATGCTAGACTGGGAACCTGAACACTTGGGTTCTGTGATTGCCCACAGTCTTGAGCATGGGAGAAGCAAATTATTTCCCCTCACTTTTGTGGCTGTGTATTTCCAACCCTTGGCCTTACCCATTTATACTATAAAGCAGGGATGTCATCTGGCCCAGCTGAGTGACCCATGACTAGTCCACAGGCTGAATGAATGGTGCAGGCCAGCTTCGGGGGCTAGATCATGCTTGCAGATCTCACCCATCATGCTAGATCCAGCACACGTGGCACCTGTTCCAGCCAGCCAGAACCCAGTGGGAAGATGCTCAGCATCCTAGGCACTTGGCTAGGATGCCTGCTGGAACAAGGTATGGTACTGCTGGGGCTCCAGCATTGTGGGTCTTACCCAGCTTTGGCTGCTGCCCAGGGAGGGTTCCCCATCAAGTCTGTGGGCTGGATGACCGAGGTCTGCTGACCAAATCCAGCCCAAGCATGTGTTTGACACCCCTGCTGTAGTGTTAGAGACCATCCCAGCTACATGCTATGTGTTTGTACTCATGGCATAATGGGGCCCTCAGGGCCTCTGTTTTGCTGTAATTTGAATAAGTGATTGGGCTTTTCGGGCATGCCCAAAACAAGGCCTGGTAGCCAATCTCTGGTCTTAAGCATGGGAGTTGGGGGCACAGCTTCTAAATCCCAACTTCCTAGACCCTAAATCTTGAAGCCTGCACCTGGGAGAGGAGCAGTGCAGAAAACTTGCGTCATACCCTGTTCACGTTCCCTTTCAGCAGCTGTTCTCTGCCACTGTGACATAGGAGACTGGGCAAGATGACCCTATGGTCTGACTCAATAAATTACAGTTCTTAAGTTCTTAAATGCCACTTTCAGTGAAAGGGAAGCAAGCCTTCAGACCTACCCATGCTGGGAAAGTTAGGCTATAAACCAGGGGTGGGCAAAATGCGGCCCGCGGGCCAGATGTGGCCCACCAGGCCATTCTTTCTGGCCTGTGGGACCCCTAAAAAATTTAGAAAATTAATATTTATTTGTCCCCGGCTGCCTGTCATATGATCCCTGATGGCTTGCCAAAACTCAATAAGCGGGCTTCCGCCTGAAATAATTGCCCACCCCTGCTGTAAGCAGATGTGTCACTGGAGGTGGTTCTGATTTGTCCTGGGTTTTGACTGAGAGCAAAGAGGAGTGGCACAGCCCTTTTACACAGGTAGCCCTTCCAAACGGCATTGCTGCTCAGTGGCCAGGAAGAGAGAATGCAGTCTGGCAGACTTGTCTCTGGAAAGATTGGTAATTAACTTGAATGAGCTGCTATTAATTGGCACAGCATTGGGAGGAGGGGGGGAGAGTTAACCCCCTCTCATACTGCACGTACTTAAACAGGGACAATATACAATACAGTCTGTGGGATCCCAGGACAAAAAGGCTTTCTTCCAGGAGAAATGAGACCTCTGCTAGCCAATTTCTCCCAGGACAAATCCTTTTAACCTGATATCCTACAGATGAACAAACCCATTGTTCCACTTTAAGTACGTGTGAAGTAGTGAGGGCACACTCTTTTCCCTGGGACAGTCTGGTGTAATTCAAGTCAATTGCCATTCAAACTGTGTCCTGGTCCTGTTTTGTTGTGAGTGAAAGTCTGGGACAACCAGACCTGGGAAAAACCACTTTCTACAGTTATACAAGTCTGTTGAGCAAATGGTGCTGTCTTTGCACAAAGTGGTGCCGGTAGCTTCCACAGCCTAGTTTGATTTCAGACCGGACTGCCCTGCAGTGGAGCAAGAGCCATTTTATAGCCAGGAAGGTGTGCTTTTATAACCTATTGATGAAGTGCAGATTCTTTTCACCGAGATGAGGCCTTGCTCTCCAGGTTGTAAGGCTGTGCCAATGTGGGGAATCCATGTTT